ATCTATCTATCTATCTATAACAACACAGCTTAATTTCATTGTGGTTTTCCATTGTCTAGAATAGAGGTAATGAAGTTTTTTTCAGTAACAATATTTTAAAGTCTGATTAGGCAGCTGGTTACCAACATAGGTTACCAACTTATCACAAGATTATTCCACAGTCAGAAATAGTCCAAAAACTAAAAAGGGAAAATAAACACAAAGGAATAATCAAATGTATGTTTGTTGAAGCAGCCAAGATGTACATTTAGAAACGCAGTCAGCCATGCAGGAACTGTTAACCTGCTGCAAAGGACCTGCAGTTATGGCTGCCGGAGGCTGCATTACATCAACTCTGCTCTCCATCTACTTCCTCCCCTTTTTCTCTTCTCCCCTGGTGTGTTGTTTCCTGTCCTCCACACATACACTGCCTTTATGTACACAAGCCTGATGTTTAATCAGATAACCCCACACAGACATTCCCAACCCCCAAAGACTAGCACTACCTCATACCACCCACCATCCTTCCTCTCCACACAGCGTTCAGCTGCAGAGCTGGTCTAGACCCCAGGTTCTATAAATAGCAAGCAGCACCAATGTCTACCACTGCCAGCAAATTGTGCATTGAGCAGCTATATCTCCAACCAGGGATCGGCACAGTGAATTATGACATTACATTCTCAAATATATCTTTATGTGACTGCAGTAATTGTCTATAATATTAATACTAGTATAAAGGTACAAAAGATAATACTAATTTAACACTAGTGTGGTGCCGCTTATTTAGGATCATAGAATCTTTAACATTTGCTTTTACCATTTGGTATTGAGTATCCGCTTTTTACATCCAGCCTGTGCATTTTTCATTTCTCTGTGTGCCTGAGGGTGTGTGAAAATGAAACATTACTTATAAGCTCTGTCTAACTAGGCTAACACATTTGTTTTGCAATAGTTTATCTCTTCTCATGCTTTCTTTTTTAGCAAAGACTAATGTATAAAATGTTAGCAATTAAAAATTACACATGTGGTCTGTGTAAGATTATATTAATTAATCAACAATAATTTAACAATACCTTGACAAAAAGGCAAAATGTTTGTTCTCTGAGAGCTGTAACTGAAAATAATTTCTCTTGTACCAATCTATACCAGAATGGACTGCATGTTCAAGAAGACCAGCTGTGTTGTGAATCTTCTAGAAACAACCATATACCAGTAATAACTATATTTTTTTTATTACAGTATAGGGTTTTCTGGGATAAATCTTCTAACCCTGAGAAAATTATGACCATAGTGTGTTTTTGGTGGCAAGAACAGCCATTTCTAAACAAGGCCATCTTTACTGAAAAGACTGGGCACATAGATTTAGAGTTCACAAAAGAACACACGACTGAAAAGATGTTATCGTATTCACACACTGACCTTACATATAATGTAAAGACATAATAACAATGAGCACAATCAATACCAGATGCATCCAGGCAGCGTCACAGCCTCTAACAACCACTATTAAAAATATGCTACTGTTGGTCCTAGTAGTATATTGCCTACCTACAGTAAATATATTAATATTGACAGCTTAGGTTGCTAGTTTTCTAGTTTCACATTATATATTATCAAAGAAAATCTTCACTATATCAGACACACACTGCATCAGTAGAAAGTAGAAAAAGATATTACACACAAGTTGCTCTTTATCATCACTGAAAAACACAGTTGGCTGATGTTTGTGTCATCCGATCCATGTTAAGGTCACATGAGTCATTCAGCAGGATGCAGTTACCATAGTTGTGTTAAGTAAATAAAAAACAGACCAGGTCTCATTGAGTGATGCGGTGAGTCTGCACTGTATCGTCATAAATGTGTAAATTCAAATATATGTTTTAGCATTGAGTTCATAGTCAGTGGTGGTGTTGTGAAAAGGACAAAACACCTCTCAATATAAAGTAGTCCAGTACAACGCCACCTTATGCCTTCGAAAATAAACATCATACATTTTCTCATATCAATATGGACAAGAGATTTACCTCAGGAGTCCCTTATTATATTCATGGCAGTGAAGGATGATCTTCACCAGATAACTAAATCGTTATGTTTAAAATGAACTAAAGTGGCTTGCTGACACTGGCTACATTTTTAGGCCTGTAAACAACTGAGGAGGGGCCGTATCCTATATGCATTACATTAAGGATAATGCCACTATGTCCACTATCAGAATTAATGAATGATGTGGAGG